CACCTTCCTCATCCCTCACCTTCCTCCATCCCTCACCTGCCTCCATCCCTCACCTTCCTCTGTCCTACACCCTCCTCTGTCCTATGCCTTCCTCCGTTCATCCTCCGTCCTGTGTGTTCCTCCATGCTGTGCCCTGTTCTCTGGGGTCTTTGAGCACAGTGCAGGGCAGCTGCTTTAGCCAGGACACCCCCAGGTGGCACCCGGGCAAAATCATCCCACCTTTCCTCTTCCCTGTTTCCCTGCGCACCAGCAGCTCCCGGCCCTCCCCCTGGCCTCGGGGCACATCCAGACATGCTCTTCGTGTCCTCCTGCGCCTCCTCCGCTGGGCCTGAGCAGAGCCCTTTGCCGCCTTCCTCTGCCGTCCCCTCCTCGTGTCTCTTCCCTCTCCGTTGGCGCTGTAGCTGCCGTGTCCGTGTGGCCGCCCGCGCTCCTCCCCAGTGCACGGGGTAGGAGTCCCCCGGCACTGCCCGCCCGGCCGGGGGCTGCGTTTCGCGCTCCCGCCGCGGTGACGGCAGCACTTGGCACCGGCACCTCTGCTCTGCAACCCCGCTCGGCTGCTATCCATTACCTGAGGGCTTCGGAGGTGTCCGATTCCCGGGAAGCGGGTGCCTCGGGAGTCATTTGAGCAGCTCCCTCCCTCCCGAGACGGGCGCAGGTTGCAACCTCCTTGTGCCTTCCTGGGTGGGGACAGCTCAGGGGAAAGGGCTCGTGTCCCGCGCCCTGACGTCAGCGGGGATGAGCAGGTGGCACAGGGTGCCAAGGGCCATGCGTGGGTCCCGCTCCCCCAAGGGGTGCTCTGGGGCCGGGGGCTTCCTCCACGGCTGCAACAGCTCCGGGCTCCCCCGGGTCCTTGAACCCCCGGGTTCAGCTATGACTTTTCTAAGCGTGAAGCCCAGATTTGGAACGTCCTAACGAGCCAGGATCCGTTTCCTCCAAGCCCAGGTGTGTTTCAAGCCTCCTCTCTGTGGCCCTGGGACATGCAGGTGGTGGGGGAGCTCCCAATGCCCTTCCCCAGCTTTGGCACTTTGGGCTCCATTCCCGGGGCTTTAAATTGTCCTGGCTTATTGGGGGAGGACTAAGAGCGGGGTTTGCACCATGGCTTGCAACAGGTTCAATATAGGCTGGTGACATCGCACTCAGCCCCGCGCCAGGTGCCGGCCCCACTGTGGCCACCGGCCGGCCGGTGTCACCATGGGGAGCCAAGCACCACCATTTCCCTGCTGCACTGCCTTGGGGCAGCCTCCTCTTCCAACGGGAGAGCTGCCGGCTGGGCCTCGTCTCCGTGAGCGGCTCGTGATTCCATATTTTATCCCGGCACAGCCCGCAGCTGGCTGTTGGCACGGCCCCGCCGGGGCTGCAGACCGAGATTTACAAACGTGCTTCAGGCCCAGCTGTTCTGGGCTCCCTCGGCTCCATCCATCTTCCTGTGGGGCTGCGTGGCGGTCTATCTAGCTGCACTCGTCTGCCCTTGGAAATGAGATTTCTATCTCCCAAGTTTTACCTTGCTCAGATAAATGCACTCGGCGCGATGGACTCTGCTCCCGGTCAAATTAGTTATGCAGTAATCAGAGCAGTCCATCGCTGGGAGGAAATATCCACTTGAGTTCACCCGGCTAATGGCCTGAGATTATTGAGTGTAATTGCTTTCTTATGGAAGCACTTGCAGCCCGCTGGCCACCAGAGACCCAGGAAGGTGCTGGCGCTGGGCGGGCTCACCAAACGGGAGCAGGACGGGTCTCCTCTCGCGCAGCGTCCGAAGGGAAGCTGGGAGATGCAGCTGGCCGGTCCTGGAGCAAGATCGCCCAGGTTTGCGTGCTTGGCAGGGCCGTCCTTCGGCTTTCTGCCCTCTCTTTGCTGCCTAAAGTCGTTGAGATCGGCATTGCCCAGGGTTTGCCCTATGCCGAGGCCTGGCCTTGCACAGGACAAACAGGAGATGTGTCCCCAGCCGCCGGTTTTTCCAGGCAGAGTGAGCTGGCAACACGGGGGTGGTGTCTCATGGTGGGTCTTGGTGGACGACCTGCAAATGCGGGAGCAAAGTGAGCAGCGGACAAGGGTTTTCCCAAGGCCGGGCTCTCCTCCGAGATGCTCTGCGCCCCTGCGCGGGGCCTGGGGTGCTCGGCACAGGCCGCAGCGATGCCGGGCGGCGCGGCGGTGCCGGGCAGAGCTTGCCATCTAGTGGGCAAACGCGGCTCTCCGAGGGCCTCCCGGAGCTGCGGGATGCGCAGCCCTGCCCAGGGAGGTGCAGCTCCGCCGTGGATCTCCCGGCTTTGCCATGGGGCTCACGTCCCTCACCCGCGTGTCCCTGTCCCCTCGCCTTGCAGGGATGCTGGTAGTCAACGTGACCTGGAGGAACAAGACGTACGTGGGGACGCTGCTGGACTGCACGCAGCACGACTGGGCACCTCCCCGGTAAGCGCGGCGGCGCCTGGCGGGCCCCGCTGCGGTGGCAGCGCCCGGATCGTGCAGGCGGAGAGGGGAAAGGCAGCCGTGCTGGGGCTTCTGTCACCCAGCACGCTCTGCCCGCTGCCCTTGGGGCTGCTGCTCCTTCGGCCACCTCATGCTTGTCCCCCCACCACGTTCCTGGCCCGGGGCTGCTGCCACACGAACCCAACACCTCCCTTCCCATCCTGGCTTCGCCCCTGGCTTTTTGCCTCTCTGGAGCTGGAAGCCCCTGGGCATTTGCTCTCTGAGGTCCCCGATTCCTCTGAACCCCTTCTGTGGAGGTGCTGGGCTTGCTGGGGCCGCTTGCGGGACTGGCCGTGCTCAGACCTGCTCGCGGCTCTCTGCAGGGCCCCGGGAGGAAGGGCCTCCTGCCCGCAGGGGGACAGTGCCACTCGGCACGGCCGCGCTCCACACGGGCTTCTCGTCCTCCGCAGGTTCTGCGACTCTCCCACCAGCGACCTCGAGATGCGCAACGGCCGGGGCCGGGGCAAGCGCATGCGCCCCAACAGCAACACGCCCGTGAGCGAGGCCGCCGCCGCCTCGGACAGCAAAGGGACCAGCAACAGCAGCAAGACCCGGGCGGGAGCCAACAGCAAAGGACGCCGGGGAAGCCAGAACTCCTCGGACCACCGCACGCCTCCCAGCGGCAGCACCGAGGACGTGAAGGCCAGTCCCTCGTCCGTGACCAAGCGGAAGAGCAAGCCCCTCTCGGACATGGAGCTGAACTCCAGCTCCGAGGACTCCAAGGGCAGCAAACGCATCCGCACTAACTCGATGGGCTCGGCGGCGGTGCCCCCGGCTACGGTGAAGGTGGAGCCGGCTGTCTTGGACCGAAACTGCCCCTCTCCCATCCTCATTGACTGCCCGCACCCCAACTGCAACAAGAAGTACAAGCACATCAATGGGCTCAAGTACCACCAGGCCCACGCGCACACGGACGACGACAGCAAGCTGGAGGCGGACGTGGACAGCGAGTACGGCGAGGAGCCCTCCCTGCACTCGGACGTGGGCAGCTGCAACGGTGCCGCCGCCTCGCAGAAGGGCTCGCTGTCGCCGGCTCGCTCGGCCACCCCCAAGGTCCGCTTGATGGAGCCCCACAGCCCCTCTCCGTCCAGTAAGTTTAGCGCCAAGGTCCCCTGCAAGAAGAAGCTGGCGGGGGAAGGAGACACCGACCCCGGGGCCCTGTCCAATGACGGCTCTGAGGACGGTCCTTCGGTGGCCGATGAGACCAGCAACGATGGCTTTGACTCCCTGGAGAAGAGGTGCGCAGATAAGGACAAGTCCAAGAAGGCATCTGCTGCTAAGCCGGAGAAGATCCCTTCCAAAAGCTTGAAGTCTGCCAGACCCATTGCCCCAGCCATCCCTCCGCAGCCAATTTACACCTTCCAGACGGCCACCTTCACTGCAGCCAGCCCCGGTTCCTCCGCGGGCCTCACCACCACCGTGGTGCAGACCATGCCCAACAGCCCCCAGCTCAAGCCCATCCAGCCAAAGCCCACGGTGATGGGCGAACCCTTCGCAGTCAACCCTGCCCTGACCCCTTCCAAGGAGAAGAAGAAAAAGGACAAGAAGAAGAAGGAGCCCAAGGAAGCAGAAAACCCTTTGACTTCTGGGAAAGTCTGCAGGGTGGAGGAAGGTAAGAGCCCTTTCCGGGGCGAATCCAGCGACCTCGGGACAAAAGGCGAGGGACTGTTGAACGGCTCGTCCGACCCACACCAGAGCCGCCTTGCCAGCATCAAGGCCGAGGCGGATAAAATCTACAGCTTCACCGACAACGCGCCGAGCCCGTCCATCGGCGGAGCCAGCAGGCTGGAGAGCGCCAACCCGGCGCAGCCCATGACCCCGCTGCATGTCGTGACCCAGAACGGCGCCGAGGCGAGCTCGGTGAAAACCAACAGCCCCGCTTACTCGGACATCTCCGACGCCGGCGAGGACGGCGAGGGCAAGCTGGAAGGCATGAAGGCAAAGGATCCGGAGCAGCTGGTCAAGGAAGGGGCGAAGAAAGCTCTCTTCCCCCCGCAGCCCCAGAGCAAAGAGTCCCCTTACTACCAAGGCTTTGAAACCTACTATTCCCCTGGCTACCCCCAGGCAAGCCCGGGGCCCTTGAACCCCAGCAGCCAGGCTGCGGCCGAGCCCCAGGCCTTGAAGCTGAAGAAGGATGAGGAGCAGGAGAGCCCGGAGGTGAAGGTGAAGAGCGAGGGCTGTGAGGAGAAGAAGCCGGAGCTGGGCAGCTCCAGCCAGCAGCCCTCGGTGATCCAGCAGCGCCCCAACATGTACATGCAGTCGCTCTACTACAACCAGTACGCCTACGTGCCCCCCTACGGCTACAACGAGCACGGCTACCCCGCGCCCCTCATGAGCACCAACCCTGCCTATCGGCAGGAGGGCAGAGAGGGGCCCACAACAGCTGGAGCAGCAGCAGCAGCGAGGGCTGGAGAAGAAAGCGGAGCTGGGCCTCAAGGAGAGGGAGGCGGCGCTCAAAGAGGAGTGGAAGCAGAAGCCGCCCATGCCCCCGACGCTCACCAAGGCGCCGAGCCTCACCGACCTCGTCAAGTCGGGGCTGAGCAAGGCCAAGGAGCAAGGAGGGGGGGACATGGCTAAATCGGTGATCATCCCCAAGCTGGAGGACTCGTCGAAGCTCTCGGGCAGCCAGGTAGCCGAAGGCCTCAAGGTGAAGCTGAGCGAGGCGAGTCACCTCGGGAAGGAGAGCGCCGAGACGAAGGCGGGCGCTGAGTGTGGCCGGCAAGCAGAGGTGGACCCTGTGCTCTGGTACAGACAGGTAATGCCCGCATGGTGCCCGCCAGCCCGGGCGCGGGGCCCTTCCTGCCGCGTCGTGCAGGGAGCTCCTCGCTGGAGGAACTTGTTCCTGCCAGGATGTGACCCTGGAGGTTGCCAGTCGGGCCGGGAGGGATGGGGCTGGGAGGCAGTGGAGGTGATGGGCCGCTCCAGGAGACCAGGCTGGGGAAGGGGTGATGGTTGCACTGGTTTCTTCCCAAAGTTTTGTGGTTTCAGGGCAGGTGGGGCTGGGGAAGGCGGCTGCGCTGACAGTTCCCTGGTTCTCGCAGGAAGCGGAGCCCCGGATGTGGACCTACGTCTACCCCGCAAAGTACTCGGACATCAAGACAGAGGACGAGCGGTGGAAGGAGGAGAGGGATCGGAAGTTGAAGGAAGAAAGAAGTCGGAGCAAAGAGGCTGTGTCCAAGGAGGACGGGAAGGAGAGCACCAGCTCCGAGTGCAAACTGACCCCCACCGAGGAGGCTCGCATGGTGGGGAAGGACCCCAGGCCCAGTGTCCATGTCCCCGTGTCGTCACCCCTCACGCAGCATCAGTCCTACATCCCCTACATGCACGGCTACTCCTACAGCCAGTCGTACGACCCCAACCACCCCAGCTACCGGGCCATGCCCACGGTCATGATGCAGAATTACCCAGGTAGGAGAGTCACCACCTCCTCAGGGCCTGCTCTCTGCTCCAGGGATGTCCCTTCCTAGGCTGTGCGTGTGTCCTGGCCGTCCTCCTGGCGTGGGGCACGGCTATGGGCCGCAGCTGCCGTCATCTTCGTGGTGCGGGGCTGGGCAGGGGAGGCTCCCGAGGGCAGAAAGGAGGGTTGTGGCTGTTCCTGGGTGACTCACGTTGTTGCCACCTCTGCGTGGGGTGGCAGAGCTGCGTGGCCCTGCTGTGCAGCCTGAAGAAGCAGCGGGTGACAAATGGGCCGGCTCCTCATGCTCTGACTGCCAACTTCCCTCCCGCAGGGTCGTACCTGCCTTCCAGCTACTCCTTCTCCCCGTACGGGAGCAAGGCGTCCGGGAGCGATGACAGCGACAAGTCCCGAGCCAGTCCCAGTGTGAGCTGTAAGTCCAGCTCGGAGTCCAAGGCCCTGGACATCCTGCAGCAGCACGCCAGCCACTACAAGAGCAAATCGCCCACGGTGAGGGTCAGGCCAGCTCCGTGCAGCAGCTTCAGGGAGGTCTCTGGAGTCCTGTGGGCTCTGCAGGCTTCCCCTGTACCTTGAGATGTCCCTGCCAGACCACCCTGCTGCCTGGCCAGGATGAAGCCACCCATTCTGGCCCTGCGAGCTTCTCAGAGGCCACCAGCTTTGCTCACCGCCCTGTTTTCTTCTCCTCAGATAAGCGAGAAGACGGCTCCGGAGCGGGAGCGCGGTGGCTGCGGGGTGGTGGGCGGCGGCGGCAGCTGCAGCGGCGTCGGCGGCGCAGGAGGTGGTGCCTCGGCTACTCGCTGCTGCCCGCGCAGTACAACCTGCCCTATGCAACAGGTAGGAGCCGGACCCTGCCCTGCGCTGGGGCCTGCTGCTGGGGGACAGGGTGACACAGGTTCTGGGATGCGGCTGCTGCAGAAGGGGCCCCAAGCGGGGCTGGATGGGGCTGCCAGGAGTTGGGAGGGGGCGTGTACAGTTTTGTAGCCATCTTTGCAAGTGAGCCCCTGCTCCGAGCGCCACTTTGGCCATATCAAGTCCCCTTGGAGCTCAGGATGGATTTGATCCGGATGTTCAGGTGTCCCAAGCCCAAGGACAGGGGCCAAACTCAGGGCCCAGCTTCTGATCTTGCTTCTACCCACAGGTCTCTCCTCCACAGCCATCGTTGCCAGCCAGCAGGGCTCCGCTCCCTCCCTATACCCGCCGCCGCGGAGGTGAGACCGGTAAGGCCCACAGCACCGGCGTGGGGCGGGCACGCATGGCCCAACACGGGTCACTCCGGGGCTGAGAGCGGAGCTTGTGCTCACAAGCAGGTCACCCTGCAGGTCACCCTGGAGCGCGTCCCCACGCGCGCCTCGTGCCCTGCGGTGGCCGATGGCCCTGGGGGCTGCCTGAACTGACTCTGCCCTGGGCTCTCCGCAGGACGTGACGCGCTGGGATGCCCGGGCTGTACGAGACATGTGACTGGCTCACATGAGGACGCGCTGGAGACTCCTTTAGACATCAGTTGAATGGTGTTAATTGTTCTGCGTGACGTTCCTGCCGTAATCTGAGGCAGACTCTGTCTTCTCCCCCGTCGGACACACACTGAAGTCCCCCCTCTGCATCCTTCCCTCTGGTGAGTGGGCGAGCTGGTACCTACAGAAATATTTATTCTACTGGGCACCGGCGCTCAGGAGGGAAGAGACCCGTCTGCCTGGTGCATATGAAGAGGAAACGGAAGCACTGAGGTTCCTCGATGGCTTTGAGGCCCCCCCCCGCCACCGCATCTCTGCGAGCCGCCGCTTCGCGACGGGGCGGAGCATCCCGGGACTTGGGGGCGGCCGGCGGGGC